CTTGCACTTATCCGCATTAAATGTCAGTTGCCACAGCTCTGACCAATTTTCTAATTTTTCTAAATCATTTGCCATTTGACTTATCCCTCCTGGAACATCAACCCTGTTACATATCTTAGTATCATTAGCAAAAAGACATAACTTACCATCAAGACCTTCTGCAATATCACTAATAAAAATATTAAAGAGAATGGGTCCATTCTCTTTAATATTTTTATTAGTGATATTGCAGAAGGTCTTGATGGTAAGGTATGTCTCCTGAACACAGGCAAAGGTACATGGTCGTCGAACGCCTGGAACTATTTCAGCCACGGGAGTCTGCGAACCCGGGTGGAGTTCATACCGCTGCTTGTTCAACGTCCCGACCACCTAAATGAACAACGTTTGGGAGATATGATCTACTGACTGTGGGGAGCATTCGCTCCATAACTGCCAGTGGGAGTAGTCATCGGTCTTCACACAGGAACCCCCTAAAGCCGATCGGTCATTGTCACGAGCGTGGGCTATAGGCCCAGCCGAGACAGTGGGGAGGGTGTTGAAATGACACCAGACCCCTGGTTACCTGTTGCTAGTCCCAGCAGCCACTCAATTAACGCCTGCAATCCCTTCTACACTAACCCCCTTAGTACACACTTTACTGCCATCACCAAGACTTTAAACCCGGGCGTCTTAGGTTACCCCACACACAGGAGAATTATAGAATCACAGTTCTACTTTTACGGATCAAACACATATAATTAACCCTTTTTGGTAACGTGTTTACCTGAGCTTTCCTCTGGAGAGTGAAGCTCATAGAGAACAGAGACACAAGCTGATTAAGTAAACATTTAATCTGACAAAAAGATTCACAGTGCTGAGTACAAAATACAGAAATAAATGACATACAGATAACAAATTTCAAAACAGTACATAAAATAAAATAGGAGAAAACACAAGAAATTCCTTACATATATTTACCCCATATAGAATTCTTGTGGGAGTCTTAGATGGTATAGGTCTCCTAGAAGTTGCTGACCAAAGCAAAAATGAATAACTCCTTGGATAGTCCAACACCCTCATTAATATATCTAAACTAGTTGTTTCTCAGTGGGCAGACCCCTGGGGGGGATCAGAGGGGGCTGGTCTGGCAGTCTATTGCCCACTCTATGCAATTCCTTGTGTCCAGCTCTGGTGATGGCTATCTAGATGTTTTATGGTCTAGGCCTGGTGCCAGATCAAAGACCACAATAAACGACATCCCAAGGTTTACAAAAAAAACAACTCTTAACATATATCAATACATCAAACACCAACTCATGCTTTTGGCATTAGAACGTTGTGGTTAACCGCAGACACCTCTTAATTACAACCGAATGCAGGGTGGTCGTCGTTCATATGTCGACCACGAGGCGGCGGCCATTTTAAACCATGCGAAAGACCAGCGGTGTTCAGTGCAGATTCTATGGAACTAAAAATGGACACTCTTTCTGCCTAACACTGCTGAAACCCGCAGACCGCCCTTCTCAGTCGACAAGGCATGCGAACACCGGCTGTTCGGGAGTTTGGATTATACGAATGGACTTAACCCAGATAGCCATCCCATGGAGTCAATCGCATACCGAAAGACTGTAATAGACTTTGACTCCATGGCGATTGAACTGTGCGTATGGGATCTGAGAGCTATTCGCTAAGAATATGCACTCAGATCCAGGCTATCTGGGGATACTTTGCACGAATGTAATATGTTCTGTAGTTGTGTAGTAATTTATTTTCATGTGTTTTTTGTGTCTTACTTAAAATGGCAATTTGCCTCTGTCCTGGAGATAATTGAATTACTTCTCAATTATCTCCAGGGCAGAGGGGAGGAAACTGGGACTATAGGAATATTTTGTGCCTGTATGTCTGAAAGTGCCATATGTCTGTCTGTCATTACAGTCTCCCATATGGTCCCCTAGGGGAGTGTCCACCAAGTGGGAGACCTGCATAAATACGGGCGGGTAGCCCACAGTAAGCCCAGTTCTTGTTTTATCCTCAATGCGGAGCTTGGTCTCGTTATTGGGGGGATTTATTACCGATGAATAGAGACTGATTGCTGGAGCCGAAAGCCGCTTGGTGGATATACTTGTTTGGCGGCTAGCGACGGTTCGTGGATTATTGTTCGGGAGTTTAATGTGCTCTTACGGATCCTGTTCGGGAGATTGCCGCTTTCCCCTGGTTGTGGTTCATACGCTGAATTACATACGAAAGGAGATGAGCAGATTGAGAAGGGGGAAGCTCAACTAAACGGCGGTTTCACTCCAATGTCTCAGGGGTGTCTTAACACATACTATATATAAATATATATATATTTTTTTTACACTAGTCAAGCTTGAGATGTTAAAAAGGATCCGTATTCTTGGCCATAAATTTAGATTGTAGCAATGATGTTATAATTAGCCAATCCTAGCAATATACATATTAAATAAATAGTTGGACCAGATCACGCAGACCTGGTGTCATCTGCATTCTTCTGGACTCTTAGACATTCAAAAAAATTTCAACTGGTGCCATTTTATGGCAAACTTTTTTTTTTTTTTGACCGGTCAGGATAAATGTCCAAGATCCATACAAAATGTAGAATCAACCGCTGTCTATGATTTTGTGATACAAACTATAAGCCAGAGACCAAAACCTCAGACCCAGCACACATTAAGTCTAAAGTTGTGGTCACAAGGAATAAAAATCTTAGCATCATGGAGTGAGGATAATATGTGTAGCGGAGATGCAATATTACCCAGGTTATCTCCGCTTATGATCCAAGTGGGACTCAGGAACAAGTAAATAGTCAATCCACAGGCAAGGCTTCCAGCAGGTAAAATACAGCAATATCCCAACAGCAATCCCAATAACTGGACGACACACAGTTTCAGGAGCATAACTGACAAGCCTTTAATCACAGTCTCCTTATAAAGCATGCTCCCATGCAAGGGAGGGACTTACAGTAATTATTACAGTAGCCAATCCTGTCCTGGTAACCTCCCACACATCTCCTCCCCTCAGCCAGCATCATAATCCCCTTATCCAGCACACCAATTCCCCCCATTTCTGGATGTACCCCTAAACGTAGGGGTACCTCTTTAAATCATACATCCCCTGGTAGCCCTGATCTGGGTGAACAACATATCCAAAAATCACCCAGATCAGACCAGGGGTTCGGGAAAAGTATGGAGGGAATAAAATGACCGACCGCACGAACTGAGATAGCCGAATTCGGTTCCATGTGAATGGGCCTTGCGGTCGGTCCTGGCATAAGGGAATAAAATACACGAAAGCCTCTAGCTATAGAGGCTAGGGAGGGTTCGCCTGAATCCCCTCGTTCGGTATTCTCTATCTACCGAACGAGGGGCCGTTCGGTAGTTTGGAACCGAACGGACCAGGGCTGTGGAGGTCTCAGCGGTGTTCGCCTACTCGAGTGTCCGATTTTAGTTCCAGACACTCGACGGCAAAACACCGCTGTTCGGGAGTTTTAAAATGGCCGCCGCCACGTGTTCGTTTGTCGAATGGCGGCCACCCCCGAGAACAAAGGACGGCTACTTACTGTTCAATTACCCGTTCGCAACAATGTTGCAACGGGTAATTGAGGACACACTTCACACAGGGGAGGTCTGGTTGTTCGGTAGTTTCATTCGAATAAACTAAGGGAATGAAACTACCGAACAATCAGAGGAATACAATTCTTTTTAATACCTAGAAAATACAGCAGATACACGAATGCAGGTTTATACAGTATATTGGTAGGGTCGCCTGGTGCCATCCGCTACAATATGGTTGCAGTATCGCATAAGAATTCAAGAGTTTGTCCCTGTATTTTAAGGGAGAGCATGGGTGACTGAGACTAAATAACAGTATCCCTCAACAATGCACAAGAAAAGGAATCCAAACTCAGGTTTCCTCATGATATCTGGGATTTCCAGGGTACAGAGACCTTGTTAAAGCTAGTATCAGGTGGCGTAGGCCTAGGCTGTCTTGGGCTGACACTGGCGAATTACATGACTAACCATGCCACAGTTGTAGAAAATTGGTGATTCTCTAGGGCACTGTTGTTTACAATGCCCTATCTTATTACAGTTCCACTACCCTTGGGGCTGCGCTTTTAGGTGTAGGCTGATTGGGCACTGAGACAGCCTTAAAAGCCTTGGGGGAAGGGGGAAGGGCAAAACATTCTGCTGTTAACCAGCTTCTTAATAGTGAACCCATACCATTTGGGATGGACCCGCTTAAAGGTCCATGAGGCATCTGGGGTAAGATAATCTAGTAGCAAATTGATGAACAATCCTCTCATGTCGTCAGCGATTGGGAGGCAACATTCCTCTTTAGAAGCACTTCCAAAACCTTCTGGCAAAATAGCTGGGACTCACATCTGGCTTTTGTTTGCAAACAAGATCCATATTACTTGGTATATGGTCCTTGTGCGAGACTTCCAGACTGGGATCTAACATATTCCAATATATATCCAATCTGTATTATCAGTCCCCATACTAAGGTTCAGCAACATGACATAGTAAGAGGGGAGCAGGAAGTATCCTGCAGTGGCCCTCTTGATATGTAATGGCTGCTGTGTGCTGTTTGACTGGGTCTGGGGAACCTCTAGCCTAAGTTGTCATCTGATTCATGTCTGGGGGTTTAGCAACTACCTGACTCCCTACAAGCATATTGTTCTTTTACTACTGCCTCAGTCTTAACCCTTTAATTTATTTTTAAATATATATATTTAATATATTTCCTTACTCCTCCTGTGATAGAATTTATCTTGATTCCACAACAGTCCCTCCACTTCTTCCCAAAGGGGGAATATCAATTAGTACAGCCTCCTCCCCAGTGGCGTCTCTAGGTTTCATTTTTCGGGGGGCACATGGAGGGCCAGTGACAAAAGTAGGGGGGCAAGGACATTTCCATGGACATTTTGCAGCACAGCTATCAATTACTGTCTGGGTATAATATCCCTGGACAGTCAGTGCTCTCTGTATAATACAGGGTTGTGTGTATAATAAATTGGGACACTCAGTGCTCCCTGTATAGTGCTGCTCTCTGTATAATACAGGTCTGTTTGTGTATAATATCCCAAGACAGAGAGCAGCACTATACAGGAAGCACTGACTGTCCCGGGATATTTTATACACACAGATCTGTATTATACAGATAGCTGAGCATATACCCCAATCTCTAGATTACTAGTACCTGTCAACAGCAGCTCCCAGACGCGTGTAACAGGGCTAAAGTGTGCGGCAGCTCACACAGATTATTCAGCGGTAAAGTGCACTCGCTGGCAGAGTCAAACTGGGAATCCCTGGGAATCCAAAGCAGCCCTGGGAAAAAAACGTATGCTATTCCTACAAGTCAAAAAAATTAAAAAAAAAATATATATATAGTACAGTAAGCACACAAGCTCACTGACATGCGCAAATAGGCTTACTGACAGACAAAACTCTCTGACTCACACACAAGCTTACTACAGACACTCACTTGTATAAACAGAAGGCTCACTACAAAGAAGTTCAGGGACACACACACAAGCTCACTAAAGACAAGCTCACTGACACACACATGCTCACTAAAGACTGCAGAGTCCATACACACACACAGACTGCTGAGTCCATACACACACACAGACTGCTGAGTCCATACACACACACTGCTGAGTCCATACACACACACACACTGCTGAGTCCATACACACACACACAGATTGCTGAGTCCATACACACACACAGATACACACACACACTGCTGACACACACACAGACTGCTGAGTCCATACACACACACACACACACACAGACTGCTGAGTCCATACACACACACACACACTCTGCTGAGTCCATACACAAACACACACTTTGCTGAGTCCATACACACACAGACTGCTGAGTCCACACACACACAAAGACTGCTGAGTACACAAACACACAAAGACTGCTGAGTACACAAACACACACACTCTGCTGAGTCCACACACACACAGACTGCTGAGTCCATACACACACACAGACTGCTGAGTCCATACACACACAGATTGCTGAGTCATACACACACAGATTGCTGAG